GCTCTTTTGTTAGTTTTGACTGCTTTTATTGTCCTCATTTGTAGGATAATTTTTCATTTTATTTCATTTTTTTTTAATTAGGGTGTTATTTTATTTAGTTCCAAATACCCACTGATTACTAAATAAACAGACTGAACTTATATATATATATACTTAACTTAACTTACCTTAACTTAGACTTAATAAGACTTAACTTATAACTTATAAGTAGTATTTAAAATGTTCAAATATTACCTTTAGAGCCAGGGGGTTCGACTACAGGTCCGTACTTCAGGCGTCCATTGAAAAGATATATAATTTCCCCCCTCCCCCGATTTTTAAATGCAAGTGAACACTACATAATGATCTGATAAGCAGAATATAATGTTAAAATGTTAGTGTTTTTAATAAAAAGGTGGGCCTATTATATTATAGAGGAAAGCTATCTTTTTTACGTTGTCCCAATTTTTATTATCATCATAATCATCATCATTATTAATATATTTATGTAATAATAATAATATAATACTAAGTATTATTATTATTAAATTGTTATAAGTTACACATTATTATAAAACTGTTAAAACTGTTTTCAATCTAGAAAGTACTGCTAAAAATGTTTTCTTGAATTTATTCTTGAACTTTTGTTTTTCTTTATTTTACAAGAGCAAATTTGTACACTATAGAGGCACTAGATAAACTACAACTAACTAGAAATCAGATAGTAAAATAGAACTTAAGTTTTTTACAGCTGGAATGGGACAAAGGAAGAAATGAAATGAAAAAATAAATAAAATAAAACATTTGAAAATTTCCTTTCCCATTAATGTGTTCGAATGTGTCGCATGAATCCACTAACACACATACACTTAGCAGTTTATCTGAGTAACTGGTGTGAGGTGGATCTCGCGCTGCGTGCTGCTCTGCTCTGCGCGTGGGCGTCTAGCTCTGTCTGAGGCGCGTGAATGCACGAGTACATAGGCATTATCTTCATTTCCAGTTTCATCGGCAATTTACAGAATGCGGAGGTGAAAACGGACGGTCTCGCCGATCGAGGCACAAATCCTTGACGGTATATGCTGGTATTACACCAGTTAGTGTTATTTTTCTTATCTGAAAGCTGTTCCTGGGCGAGAATCACGCATGCATTCAAACAGAGGATTATCGCGGAGGAACTGCCTCGAAACCATGAGCTGCAGTTGGGGGACGGAGCTGTGGGTGAGTACAGCCGCGAGACACTGAGGCGATTGCATCTGAAAGATATCAAGCAACATAGTGCACAAAATGTTTAGGATCTCCATTAGTAACATGCATATGCCCATTAGTGACAGATAAATAGCCCACCGCACCACCCATTTTACAGTGATGCAGACCGCAATTTCCAGCTACTCTTACAGAAATCTTTCATTTAGCACCGAATCTTTTGCATGCACGTCTAGATATTTTAATGCAAGCAAATGCATGCTCTCTAAAGCTCGTTAAAAGCAATTATTAGCCGTCAGCATTGACTAAATACACTGGATGGCAATAATCCTGGGCTAATACTGGCCCTAACCACATGCGAGTGAATGGGGCTGGAGCAGCTGCACAGGCTATTCCCCATGCCATGCATGTCCTTTTTTCAGCTTTGATGTTGCAGTGTGTATGTAATAAAGTAATAGTGTAATATTGTTGCACCGCACTTCTATTATGATCTTAAATATGTAATAGTTTCAAGACTGTCCATTGTTGGCTGTAACATCATGCAGCCTTAACCTAGTAACAACACTATAATGTAGGATAAAATATTTAAGGTTGTGTAGCCTGTGGTTAAACATCTGGGCTGGTAACCAAAAAGTTTAGACTTTGCAAGCTTCCACTTAATCTTAATTTGTTGTAATATGTGTAGAAGAGACCAGGGAATGTGGTAATATGGGGTAAATTGTAACATCAGCAGTTTAACCAATTAGAAATAAGTTATGGGTGAAATCATTTTACATGGCCACCACCCTCTTCAGGTGACAGTAGAAGCTTGTAAGCCTTTGTAAAATATTATGAGGGTAATATTTTAAAAGGATTTATAGGACTAAAACCAAGTTTATATATAATTTGATTTGTAGTCATGTAAATGGAAGTTAAGTGACAGAACTCGTATCATCTGAATCAGCAAGTTTTCATTTAATTTCATTAAAAGCCTTCCATCATCATATTTCATATATATATATATATATATATATCGGGATTGGTATGGGATGGTATAAAGTTATTTGAACAACCACACTAAATTACAGCATTCATACATTAGTAGGTTATGACAACAATGCTCCTTGTAGTTGACAATAATTTAAGTTTAAGGAAAAGTTGATTTTTAAAATACTTTAATTTGACATCTTAACTGTATTAAAGTTTAAGACATTGTGCATTAAACACAAAGTTACAGACATTGAAAATGTTGCTGACTGTGGATAAAATAGTTAAATGACTAATAATAATAAGTAATAGACTGATCATTATTCAAATTGACTATTTAAATGGTCAAATGCTCTAAAAGCTATATTATGGATGCCACAGGAGATTCAGATCAATATGTTTTGTAACAGTAACCTAGTGGTTAATAAGTTTTAAAACAAGTTAAATACTCTGTGATGGATGAAGTTTGTACTGTGTATATAGCGATAAGCATTAGGCATGTTACAGCTGGAGGGCTAGCAGTGCTGAATAATGGATCTGACACGTTGCCAGTGTCAGAGAATACTGCAAACTCGTGAAATGATATGGGATGACTTTGATTATGAGGGTATTTTGATCTCTCTCCTTTGGGCCCTCTTTCACAGTTCTATCAAATCCATCAAAGCAAAATCTATCATTTTTATCTCCTAAAGTGTTCTGTCGGCACTCTACCTTCACTGCAATTTCATATTTTGTCAATGTTATATGAACGTGAGACGCTCGAAATGGTTAGTCGTTCATATGTTAACTTTCGGTCTGATGTTTTTCTGTCTTTTGCAGGATCAGTTTGATAATTTAGAGAAACACACTCAGTGGGGCATTGAGTTTTTGGAACGCTACACCAAGTTTGTGAAGGAACGGTCTGAAATTGAACTGAGCTATGCTAAACAGATCAGGTAAGATAAAGACAGATTTGTGGCTCATATTTGTAGTTCTTAAAATGATAAGGTAATGTTATCATGAATTAGATGCTCATGTTTTGTCAGTTGAAGTTGTATATAGTGCTTTATGCAGTACAGATTGTTTGAAAGCAGCTTTTTTCACAGTAATACACAGAAAAGTAACTGTTAATGTTTCAAAATGGATAAATTCTGAAACAGCTTCAATTTTAGCTGTAAAGCAGCTCTACAGAAGACAATAGTGTCATTATTTACCTCAGTTCAGATTCAGTGTTGATTCACTTCAGTTCATTAACTGTCAATGTTGCAAAGTTCATCAATTATGAAACAGCTTCAGAAAACAATAGTGTTATTATCCAGCTCAATTCAGTTCAAGTTTTTTGTTGTAATATAATCAGTAATATTTTCTGAATTTAATAAAATATTAATAAATAATAGAATTTTGTCGAGGTGTAACCACAGTAATTGTATATATTATAATTCTTTTTGGTGGAAATTCAATAAAAAAATGAATGACGTATGTAACGTATGATTCACAGTAAATGACAACTGAAGCATACAAATATTCAAAAAGATGGTGTTTTATGAGGGCAAGGTATTATGTCAGTAAGAACAAACATAAAACGGGTCACATGTCCGACGTGTATTACCATGGATACTGGGTTTCCATGGCTCTGACCCACATTCTGTTATCTACCACTGATTCTGTAATATTTCTTGCTGGCTGCATTTTGGAAGTTTATTAAGCAGCAGTTTCCACTGGAGATGTTGACCCTGAGGACACCGGATGACTTACCAGCATCATGACATACGCAGAGAAACCTCAGCGTTTATAAGAAACCCCACAGCGGCGCTGCTCGCCGTGCAACAAACAGGCCCTTTCTGTTTGTATTTTCTGATCACATAAGAGAAAATCCTCTTTTCGTAGCCGTTTGCTCAATCCGTGCATTGTTGTTATTTTTAATAACTGTGTCAGACTGTATTTTGCTCTCAAGAAAGAGTCTTTAATTCACAACATCTCCCAGAGGCTTTTTTTTTTGTTCAGATCGCAGCCATGGGTGAAAGATTTATTAAGCGCTAAGCACATGTTAGCAGATAAACGGCATCGACATGGATCTGTCTGACCAAAGAATAATAGTCCTTTAAAAACCGCTGGGTTGGGTTATTCTAATGAGGATTTATTTATGGCTTTATCAACCTTTTTCCTATTTGCCGTTGCGTATTGACGCATAGGGCGGCCCATTTAGGCCAATCGTAGGGAAACTAGCAGACAATAAAGCAACTGCATCGGTGGGGTCTTGTCAAGAAACTGCAAGATGGTGATCTGCCTAGCAACACGTCAGACTCCTGGGAGGTAGCGTTGGGTGTGTGCGGAGAGAGGGAGAGATAGAGTGAAGGAAAGCTGCAGGAAAAAGCATCGATGGGGCGGCACCGTCAGCATGCGCTCTCACCATCGTAATTGATTTTAAGCCATTTATAGGCCCTCTTGAAATTAATCACATGATATTCATGTATAAAGCAATGGTTTTCTCATTTTCACTGTGTCATTTCTCGTCTTCCTGTACTCAGTTTTCCATTCTTATTGACAAAGGTCAGCCTCATGAATCGGACTCCTTGTTTAGTGGGATGATACGATTATTCTGATGGTGACAATATTAGCTTTTGTTTGCACTGCAGTCTCGCGTTGCACCACAAGCACCATTAGATCTTATTTGTCACTGACGTGTACAATTTCACTCATTCAAATTATTGGGAAACAAAGACACCTTTGAAATCAGTGAAATGTCTTTGCTTTTTTGGTGGGAGAAATGTTTGCTAAATTGCTGTTTTTTTATGTTAGAGTAACTGTTTTTAAACTATTTATTAATTCCTATTTAAATGTGCAATTTATGTACCACTACTTACCATACGTAATTACAAAAATAATGACTAAATACTCTCTCTATCTGCCATTGTTTGAACAAACAGATAAAACTCACACCATTGGTTCAGCCACTGTTGTGCTGGTTCAAACAAACATCATTTACATATTACTTGTTTATAGTTGCTTTATAGAATAAAGTGTTTTAACATTTTAACAAAGTGTCTTATTTTTCTTACTATAGGAATCTGTCCAAGAAGTATCAGCTCAAGAAGAACTCTAAAGAGGAGGAGGAATTCAAGTGAGTGAGAACAGTTTGGCATATATAAATCATACACATGTATTTTGATATCTTAATGTAGCCATTTTCTAATGATGTTTCAAATTTACCTACACAAAACAGTTTATGTCTTACTACTGTTCAAAAGTTTGGGGTCTGTAAGATTTCAGTGTTTTTGAAAGAAGTCTCTTATGCTTAAGGTTTTATTTATTTGATCAAAAATGCAGTAAAACTGGAATATAGTGAAATATTACAATTTAAAATACATTTTAAAATATATTAACATATAAAACAATTAATTTATTGCTGTGATGCAAAGCTGAATTTTCAGCAGCATTACTTCAGTCTCTAGTGTCACACGATTCTTCAGAAATCGTTCTAATATGCTGATGTACTGCTCGAGAAACTTTAATCATGATTATCAGTGTTGTTGATATAAATTTTATGCACACTTGCTGAAGAAAAATATTAATTTCTAACCCAATCTAACCCAAACTTTTGACTGGTAGTGTATATACTAGTGCTATCAAACGATTAATCACGATTAATCGCATCCAAAATAAAAGTTTTGGTTAACATAATATGTGTGTGTGTACTGTTTATTATGTATATATAAATACACACACTCATACAGTATATATTTTGAAAAAATGTACATGTTTGTATTTATATGCGTGAAATTTATATTATATATAAATATATTTAATATACGTATAATCATAACATATTTTCCTTAAATATATACATTCATGTGTGTATTTATATATACATAATAAATATACTGTCACGTGTATGTTCCCGTTTAGTTCCTGTTTGTCCTTATTT